ATTTATGAATAAGTTGAACAGGATTGGTCCCAGGACTGACCCTTGGGGGACACCACTAGTTACCCCTCTCCATTCTGAAAATTTACCATTTATTCCTACCCTTTGTTTCCTGTCTTTTAACCAGTTCGCAATCCAAGAAAGGACATTCCCTCTTACCCCATGGCCATGTAATTTACACAAGAGCCTTTGGTGAGGGACCTTGTCAAAGGCTTTCTGAAAATCCAAGTATACGATATCTACTGGATCCCTCTTATCCGCATGCTTGTTAACCCCTTCAAAGAATTCTAATAGATTAGTAAAACATGATTTCCCTTTACAGAAACCATGTTGACTTTTGTCCAACAAATTATGTTCTTCTACATGCTTCACAATTTAATTCTTTACTATTGTTTTGACTAATTTGCCCGGTATTGAAGTTAGACTTTCCGGTCTGTAATTGCCGGGATCGCCTCTAGAGCCCTTTTTAAATATTGGTGTCACATTAGCTATCTTCCAGTCAGTAGATACGGAAGCCGATTTAAGGGATAGGTTACAAACTACAGTTAATAGTTCTTCAATTTCACATCTGAGTTTTCAGAACTCTTGGGGAATGCCATCTGGTCCCAGTGACTTGTTACTGTTAAATTTATCAATTTGTTCCAAAACCTCCTTTAATTTCACCTCAATCTGGGACAATTCCTCATATTTGTCAACTAAAAAGAATGGCTCAGGTTTGGGAATCTCCCTAGTATCCACAGCTATGAAGACTGAAGCAAAGAATTAATTTAGTTTCTCTGCCATGACCTTATTGTCTGTGAATGCTCCATTGGCATCTCAATTGTCCAGGGGCCCCCTGCTTCTAATGTACTTAAAAAGTTGTTATTTATTTCTGAGTTTTTGGCTACCTGTTCCTCAAAATCTTTTTTTGCTTTTCTTATTACATTTTTACACTAGATTTGACAGTGTTTATGTTCCTTTCTATTTATCTCACTAGGATTGGACTTCCACTTCTTAAAAGATGCCTTTTTGTCCCCCACTGCTTCTTTTACATGGTGGTTAAGCCACGGTGATTCTTTTTTAGGTCTCTTGCTATGTTTTTTAATTTGGGGTATACATTTAATTTGGGCCTCTATTATGGAGTCTTTAAAAAGTTTCCATGCAGCTTGCAGGGATTTGGCTCTAGTCATTGTGCCTTTTAATTTCCGTTTAACTAACCTCCTCATTTTTGTGTAATTCCCCTTTTTGAAATTAAATGCCAGAGTGCTGGACTGCTGAGGTGCTAATCCACCTCTCAATTTTCATATTGATTCCCATATTTTCCAATTTAACCAATAATTCCCCATAAGGTACTGCATCAAATGCCTTACTGAAATCGAGGTAGATTAGATCCACTGCATTTCCTTTATCTAAAAAATCTGTTACTTTCTCAAAGAAGGAGATCAGGTTGATTTGGCACGATCTACCTTTTGAAACTGCCTGCTTAGTGAATCTGCAATTATGTTGTTGACTCCAGGTAAGTACGACACTACGAGGAACGTCTTTTTGCGGATACACCAATTCCAATTTGTTCCCATTGAGTAACAATTTTTTTTTTAAAGAACGTTGAACCAGAACAAGAACAGGTAAGGGTAAGAGAAACTTGGTTTGTCAGTAACTATTTACAGGTCTGAGGTAAGGAGAAACCCTGAGAGAAAGATGGAGCTCCGTCCGTGACTGAGGGCGATTGGAAGGAACTGAGCGGGGGCCGGACTGTGCACAGAAGATCAAAGGCGTGAATGGCATGAGCCACTGCTCACGCATGCACAGTCCGGCGGAGCATGGCTATGCAAGTCTCCGGATCCACGGCGCCAGGACGAGCCCGACACCACGAGTAGAGCACCCACGGGGACCACTCAAAGAAGAATGTGTGTTTGTAATTATATCTGGCAAGAGGGACAACCATTTGAACTGGTTTCTTCTAACTGCCTAGACAGCTGTAAAAGTCATGTCTTCTGGCCTTACTGCCCTTCCAGGTGGAGTGTAGTTCATTAGGCTCTCCAGTTAAGTCTCTCCCATGGAGAAAATGGGGTGCTATAAATGGCTGCTTCAATGCCTAGTCCAACCCTTTCCCCCAAGCCTACTCAACATGACTCTTTGAAAGCAAAAATCATGTTAAATTGGGTTTACATAACATTTCCTTACATAGATACATTTCCCATTAGTTTAGAAAAGCAATAAGAGGGACAAGCTAGGCTAGATGACTCAAAGTATTGGTAATGGGATAAAGAGTCTTTTAGCTCTGGATCACCATTGTGAACACACACCAGTGTCTGTAGTAACCAAAAGTTACCATCAGGTGTCTGCTGAGTTGCCTGTGGAATGAGGTTAATGGTCTGTTCCATCCCCAGTAGATGAGTATCCACATCTTCCTCACCCAACAATACAGTTAGCACTACTGGGGAACCATACTGGTAGTCTCAACACAGAAGGTGACAAAGTGTATGCATGAAGACTGGACATGCTTTCTCAACTGTAAAGGTGATCACTGCTAGTCAGATTTGAGGCAAGTTGTCAGGGCAGCATGGGGAAGTTTGCAGGTCATGTATTTAATGCCTTTCTAGAAGATCCATCCTCTAGAATCTGAGAGCTACCCAGGTAAATTTATATATGAATGGTGAGGGCTCTAGTGAACTTCAAGAAATTCTCTGCTCATCTCTCCTCCTTGAACAAAGAATTCTGCTACTATTGCCCATCAGTGCAGCACAGAGTAGGCACAGTCAGGAGCCAGTTTCTTCTGTAAATCACTTTCTTCTGTAAACAGCAGGTGTTCCCCACAAGTCTTTGGAGGCAACTTATATATTCTCTTGTTATGCACTGGGCATTTGGACATGTAGTGCACCTTATTAATGTCTATCAATCAAGACAGGAAAAATGTGCCTTATATTTGCAGGTGTGTTGTGCTTGAGGCAGCTGAATAATAATGACTAAATTTTTTTTCAGTGACTTTCACGCTATTTTTTTCAAAAATATTATTTGCATTTTTTCCCATTCCAATTACAGAGGTGGGTGAATATATACAAATACATTGCACTTGTAAATACAATATTCCTATAACTTTTGTCATTATTTGTTCAGCTCAGGTTGCATTTGTTGCATATAGTATCATGAGCTTTCATGGGCAAAACATACTTCAGATTGAAATTAAGATCAGCTTTCTACCAGCACTGTTAAGAGGCTACACTATTTTTCCTGAATGTACATTTAAAACACTAGAAAACTCATCACATCTCTAAAGCTGGCACTGCAAAAGTAGTAGGTGTAAAAAAGTAGGAAGCAAGGATGCCTCATTTTCATTAGTGCTCTTTATATCTAAATAGTAACTGCTGAGTCCTTGTAAAACTGCATGGGAATTGGGCACTGTGCTGTCTCAGTCCTCTTAAATTACCTTCAACCTTGACTCTGACATTGCTCTGCAGCAAGTGGAAACAGAGTGGAGCAGACCTGGAAATGCATCTAATCTTTCGTAACTAGCAGGTTTTCAGTCAATGTTCAGAAAAGCAACCTGCTTTATTGTGCATGTTAATTCTCAGTGTTTGAACAATGGTCCCACACTTCTCCAGACTCTTACAAGTTGAAGGTCACAACAAATGCCATTAGAAAAGTAATTTTCCTTAGGTGTGAAAAAATACTCATATTTTATCCTTGTAAGAATGGGAGCAACCCCCCTGCCAGACTATTAAAATGTGAAAATCCTGCTATGTCAATGAAAATAGTCATTTGCTCTGGATTTGTACTGTCCCAGAAGTTAATTGTATGACTTTGCTCTTATGGTAATCTGGGCATGCACACGTGTCTTGAATGGCTGGTTTGACTATTGTAATATGACAGGTTAGGCAAGCAACAATACCTCTTTGAAGATTTTTAGGAGTTACAGTTGCCTTCCTTTCAGGATAACGAAGGTAAAAATTAAGTCACATGGTATAAACTAGGCACATACATTTTCCTACCATACTGAGCATCTGTCTGATTTCTACCTCTGGAAGCACATACATATATACAATGACTATGAGCAGCCTCTTACTGTAGATCTCACACAGACTTAACCACACTTGGTGCAAACTCCTTAGCTCTCAAGCTGCCAAAATAGTTTGTTTGTTTTGAACGGTCATGAAATATATATACCTACATAGCTGGCATGTAAATCTAGTCACCCATTCAATCTGTAATCTCGTGTGTGTGTGTGTGTGTGTGTGTATTGCTGTGCTTTTTGTACTGTTTTCCTGATATTACAGCTGAGGTGAAATCCTGCCTTGTGTGGCATTGGTACAAAGGATAGGGCAATCAGATTCCCAGCTGAACTTCAATGAAGTCCCACCCATTTAAACCAGAAGAAAATTTGGTCCTGGGAGTCTATTTGCCCCTCTCAACCCAATACAAGCAGCACCATAAGAGCTCTGCATAGCACTATGAGAAATATCCTAACACATGCAGGCTTTTCACAAAATTCCCTTGGGGGCCTGCTTTTTTGTTGCAGGGGCTATGAGGCTGTGTAGCCTTCCATGTGAGCTCCTGCTGCTAGCAAGAAGCATTAGTGAGAGGAGCTTCAAAGCAATCCCCACAAGGCACTGCCCCCATCTTCAAAGAACAGATCTTCTGGATGTGTCAGGATGCCAGTAGAAGAGGATGCACTGGCAGCATTTTTTCTCTGTCTCTCAGTGCCAGCCAAGACTGGATTTAACTCTCAGTATGTAAGAAGTAAAACGTATCAACCCAGAGAAGAATCTCAAACACAGCAACTTCTATGCTTATTTTTAGAACACCAAAGGGAACGGCAAATGATCCAGTCACAATTCAGTGAAATGAGTCATGAACTGAGTTCACCTCTCCTTCCTAGTATCTTGATGTTTGGTGCCAAAGTTTTTTATAAATCAGTAGCTATCTTAGACAAGCATAGTGGAGTCCATTTAAACAAATAGTACTTCTGGATCAAGCCTTGTTGCATTGAATTAAGTGGCAAATATTTCCTCTGCAACCAGGATTTGGCTTTTAAGAAATAAATGTATTTTTTCAAAAAGCATACATGTTTCCAGTTTCTCTCCATCAGCCACATATATACACGGTACTGCAGTGCTGTAAAAACAAGAACAAAGGACAGAACCAATTAAATTAAAAGGTGGAAAATTCAAAAGTGATAAGTAAATACTTTTTCACACCATGAGTCATTAAATGGTGGAACTCCATTTTGTCAAGAAGGTATTGAAATCAAGAATTCAGTGGTATCCCAAAAGATTGTCTTTTTATTGTCTTTTGGCTGGAAATGATGACCCAGAGCCAATGGGAGCCGCGAGACTCCATGGCGTGGTTATGGAGCCTTTAGATTACCAAACGAGAGCATCCCATTAGCAGCTTTCTCAAAGGGAGCTGCGAGCCCCCTCTGAGAAATCCAGTCCTAAACTGATCACTATTATTTATGTAAAGGAGAGTGTTATGAGTAGATTATCCTGCATCTGCCTACTATGGAGTTTCCTGCAATTTCTGCTGAAACATCTGATATTCATCACTGTCCGAGACAGGATATAACACTAGATCAATGGTTTTCAAAGTGTGGTTGGCGGACCACCCCCAGGTGGTCTGTGGCTCAGGTGCATGAAGGAGCGAGGGAGGTGCTGGCATGGCATGGTGTAGGGGCCAGGGTGGTCTGGCAAGTGGAGCGGATGGCATGACGGTGTGCTTGCCTCTGCCTCCCTGGGGCTGCCCCTACCCGACCTGGGCATGCAGCTCCCTGGAGCTAAGGGGTTAACACCTCCCCCATTACAGACTGCTCCCTTTTCCGGGAGGAGGTGGGACTGGGGCTGCTCTGTAGATGGGTTGGGACGGCCTGACACACACTGCTGCCACCTCTGTGGTGTTCTGGAACCTAGGCTCCCTGTGGAGGGTGTGCGGAGATCTCCTTCCCCAATGCCCTGCTGCGCCTGGCTTGGCTGGAACTCATCCTTGGTTCTGACCGCCCCAGCCCCAGAGCCACAGCCTGCAGGCGAGGGGTGAGCACTGGGCAAAGAGCTGGGCAAGACAGGGAAGTGACTCTGCCCCAAGTGGCCCCTTCTCACCCCAGGACTGCTCCAGAGGGGGCTGCAAGTCCCAGCCTGCTGATGTGTTAAAGTGTGCACTGAGGGGAACAGGGATGTGGGGGCAGAAAAGGGGGGTGAAGAAGGATGTGGGGGCAGGGGTTGCCCTGAGGGGGGATAGGCAATGCAGGGGGATCAGGCTGGAGTGGGGAGATCATGGAGCTGAAGACTGAGGGGAACAGGGATGTGGGGGCAGAAAAGGGGGGTGAAGAAGGATGTGGGGGCAGGGGTTGCCCTGAGGGGGGATAGGCAATGCAGGGGGATCAGGCTGCGGTGGGGAGGTCAGGGAGCTGAAGGGAATGAGGCTGGAACAGAGGGAGGATGTGAGGGGGAGATACAATTTTCCTTTGCAGAAGCTGCACTTTCCTTTACTTCTTACTTCTTTGTCTCCCTTCCCCCATCACAGCACAATCCTCTTTGCACCTTATTGTGTGTGAATGAGAATTTCAGCCAGTTTGCAGGCGCTGCAGGAAAGCTGGCAGATCTGTACATTTTTCAATAATCTGCAGCGCCCTTTGGCATTAAACCTGGGACATTTGCTCCCATCCAGGTCTCCAGCAGAGTAGATGCTTTTAATGCCATTGCATATTTCTTCTGGCAGCTCAGACACTCATTCAGTATTTCCCCCAGAGCTCTGAGCTGTGTCTGTCTGGGGCTCGTTGCTTTTCCATGGATCAGTCTCCTCCAGCCCCTGTTCTGACCCCTCAGTTACTGACAACACCTCATTGGGATTGCCAGAAAACAAACTGGGCCGAGGGAGACCTCTCCCCTCCATGATATTGAATGTTTGTTGGCTTAGGATTTTAAAGATAAATAGCTTCAACATCTCCATATAAAAGTGAATCGATATTCTTCTTTTCCTCTTAGTTTCAGAACAATATAGTTGCCATAGGAATCACAAATCTCCATCTTAACCCAGAAAGGCCCCACTGTTCGTTCCCCTTCCAAGATGGGAGCACGATAATCAACCACCCACAAGCTAGTTTTGATGTGCAGCTATTTGGCTGCATTCTCACCCTCTCCCCTTATCTGCATTACTCCTCCAACCCCACCTACTCCCAAACTCCCCCTCGTACTGCCCTGCCACCCCACACTGTCTTCTGCCACCAAACTCCCTTCCAGACCCTGCCCTCCTCACCTACTCCTGAACCCTACCTCCTGCCCAGATTCTACACCCCTATCCCTATACCACTCACTGGCAGCTCTGTCCCACACACTGAACCCCTCATTTTGTCCCTACCCCAGAGCCAAAGAGGGTCCACAAAATCCACTAACTCTGGAACCCCAGAAAAGTAAATCTAGCCTATGGGAAGCTCTGAACCTCAGTCTTCCCTGTCCCTTCTCCTCACCCTGTCCCTCCATGGGGTTGGAGCACTAGAAGACTGAGGTGTCTCAGTTGGGGGCCACATCAGTGAGGGTTGGGGGTTTTTGGAGGATTTTTTTTTTTTTTTGGTTCTCACTTGTGTGGTCCCCAACTGATTTTTCTGTGGGTCAGTGGCTTCCAATCCAAAAAAGGTTCCCCATCCTTGCCATAAATTAAGAAAACATTGGAACCTTTTGTGTTGGACATAAATTAATATTTTACTTTATTTAAAATGAAGTTTGTTAAACTAACACAAAGTTAAAAGACTTAATTTGTTTAATGATTTAAATTAGCCCATTCTCTCTAGCTACAGTACTAGCAAAATGGCTCGGGCGTTACTATGTAATGAATGGTGAGTTTCCACTAGCAACTGGTGGTCCATGGAAAGGTCTGTAATGATCCAGGTGGTTCACAGGCCAAAAAGGTTGAAAACCACTGCACTAGATGAACTTTGGGTCTGATCTACGCTTTCTATTCCTACAGTCTTATGTATTAAAATAAATAAATAGATTAGTGGGTTTTTAAGCTTTCACTGTATGTAGTTAATGTAATCAAGTAATGACCTGAGAAAGAGAGTATATATTTTACACTATTTTGCAAAAGCCTAATAAAATATATTATCAAAGCTTTTTTATATTAATATCAGTCATAATTTTGTTGTACCTTTCTTTCAACAGCTTGCTTTATGTACTTGCAACCTTTTGAAAGGCTTAAAAGCTACATGTCACTAGCTAGTGACCTCTGGTGCAATCTTAAGGATATTTGTTACCCTGACTCTAGTACATAAGCATTATTTATTTGCTTATAAATTATTGATAATACTCTAAATTCATGTATGATGGAAGGAAGTGCTTCTGCAAGTGCGTTATCAATAGAAAATCATCAAGAATGTGTAGAAATCAATGATGAATCTATAGTTAGTCCCAGTATATGTTCTGCTTATGCAGGCAGCAATGATTGATAAATGATCTGCTAATGGACCTATCCAAATGTTTTTTTGTTTATCATGTAGGACTTGGAACCTAATAAGATGTGTTTCTGTGGTCCATGTAAAATATTCAATAATTTTATTTTTTTCCTCTATCAGTTCCAAGGGAAAAACATAAGAACAGAAGAGCGGCGATACAGGATCCATCTAGCCCAGTATCCCATCTTCCAACAGTGGCCAATGCCAGATGTCCCAGGGGAAGAAATGGAAACAGGTAATCATCAAGTGATCCCTCTTCTGTCATCCATTTCCAGCCCCTGACAGAGGCTAGGGACACCCATTCTGGCTAAATAGTATTGATGGACCTAACTTCAATGAATTTATCTAGTTCTTTTTTGAACCCTGTTAAAATCCTGGTCTTCACAACCTCCTCTGGCAAGAAGTTCCACAAGTTTACTGTGTGCTGCATGAAGAAAAACTTCTTTTTGTTTATTTTAAACCTCCTGTCTATTAAGTTCATATGGTGACCCTTTGTTTTTATGTTATGGGAACAAGTAAGTAACTTTTCCTTATTTACTTTCTCCATACCTGTCATGATTTTATAGACCTCTGTCACATCCCCACTTAGTCTCCTTTTTTCTAAGATGAAAAGTCACAGTCTTTTTAACTTTTCTTCATATGGTACCTGTTCTAAACCCCTAATCATTTGTGTTGCCCTTTTCTGAACCTTTTCCAATGTCAATATATCTTTTTTGAGATGAGGCAACCACATCAGTACACAGTATTAAAGATGTGGGTGTATCATAGATTTATACAGAGGCAATAAGATGTTCTCTGTCTTATTCTCTATCTCCTTTTTAATGATTCCTAACATTGTTTACTTTTTTTGACAGCTGCTGCACATTGAGCGGATGTTTTCAGAGAACTATCCACAATGACTCCAAGATCTCTCTCTTGAGAAGTTATAGCTAAATTAGTCCCCATTTTATATGTGTAGTTGGGATTATTTTTTCCAATATGAATTACTTTGCATTTATCAACTTTAAAATTCATTTGTCATTTTGTTGCCCAGTCACATAGTTTGTTCTTAGCTACCTTGAGCAGTTTAGTATCATCTGCAAATTTTGTCACCTCACTGTTTACCCCTTTCTCCAGGTCATTTATAAATAGGTTAAATAGGATTGGTCACAGTATGGACCCTTGGAGAGACACCATTAGTTACCTCAGAGTTTAAGAAAACAGCAGAGATTAAGAATATTTTACAGTTATGTACACGGATATTCCAAGATGACTCTCAAACTATGTACGGCACTGAACAACATCCTCTGGGGTGGGAAAAGTACACAACACAGTAAGGGAGACTTTGAGATTCTGGCTGCATATAGGGGCAAACTTGTACCGTGTGAGTTCAATGGAGTTAGCCCCTCTTACACTAGAGCACAATCAGGCCCACTCAGTCTGAAAATAGTGAGTTTGTTTTACAATATGGATTAAGATTACAACAGATGAGTCATAAAATCTCCTTTTGCTAAAAGTTTCAGTGAGTGTCTGTTCTCTGAAGGACTGCACTCCGGTCCAAAAAGTGCTGCATGGTTCTGCCTGACATGAAAGTAGTACCTGATGATGTGGTCTGAACTTTGATAGAGCAGAATTTTTTAAACAGAAAGCCAATTAATTAAGAGGATCCTTTTTCAAAATGCTCATTTAATTCCATAGGCCTTTTGCATGGACTAATGACAAAATAAAAGCTGAGTAAAGACTTCAGTATGACTTCAGAAGAAGTTATCATGAGAGCTGAGTGAAATATTAATTAGTCATGAAACCAGGTGAAACTCTGTAGTTTTGGGAATACAATAGAAATGTAAGAGTCAGCTGACCCTTCAACCAAGACTAGGCCCTTTTCTGATAAACTTAAGCCAATTAATGGTTTCTCCGCAAAACCAATTAAACACCGAATCTCAGAAATGTAGGGCTGGAAGGAACATTGAAAAGTCATCAAGTCCTGCCTGCTGTACTGTAAACCTAGATCATCTCTGACAGGAGTTTGTCTAACCTGTTCTTAAAATCTCCATTGATGAGGATTCCACAACCTCCCTTGGAAGTCCAGAGCTTAATTACCCTTATAGTTAAGACACTTTTCTAATATTCCACCTAAATCTCCCTTGCTGAAGATTAAGACCATTACTTCTTGTCCTACTTTCAATGGAGAACAACTGATCGTGGTCCTCTTTATAACATCCCTTAATGTATTTGAATATTGCTATCAGTCTTATTTTCTCAAAACTAAACAGTATTTTTAACCATTTCTTATACAGTAGCTTAGGTTTTCTAAATGTTTTACAATTTTTGTTGCTTATCTCTGGACTCTCTCCAGTTTGTCCACATCTTTCGGAGAATGTGGTGACCAGAATTGGACACAGGGCTCCAGCTGAAGCCTCACCAGAACTGAATAGAACAGGACAATTATCTCCCTTGTCTTACATATGTCACTACAGTTACTAACCCCCCCCCCCTTTTTTTTGCCACTGTATCAGACTGTAGACTCATACTTATTTTGTGATCCATTATAGCCACCAAATCTTTTTCAGCATTACCTCCCCAGTTTTTCCTAATTTTTTATTATTAATTTTATTCTTTCTTTCCTAACTCAAGTACTTATAATCTCAGAATCAGAGAAGATTAGGGTTGGACAAAACCTCAAGAGGTCATCTAGTCCAATCCATTATTCAAAGCAGGACCTACCTTAACTAAATTATCCCAAACAGACTTTGTCAAGCCAGGCCTTAAAAACTTCTAAGGGTGGATTAAACTAATAATTGATCTAACTGATTATTAATTAATTTAATTAATTAATCTTAGCATTTGTATTTACTGAATTTCATCTTGTTGAGTTCACACCAGTTATCAAATTTATCAAAGTTGTTTTGAATTTTAAATCTGCCAAAGTGCTCATAACCCCATCCAGCTTGCTGTCAACTGCAAAATTTATAGTATACACTCTATTCTATTACCCTAATCATTCATGAAAATATTGAATAATACCAAACCCAGGGCTGACATTTGTGGTACCCCGCTAAATGGGTCCACAAGTTACCTGAGTTAGCCCTTTAAATTTTTTATTCGTTTCAGCCCTCTCAAAGTGAAATTCAGTGAACAAAGTCCACATAAACTAAAATAGAAAAAGGTTGATTTGAATCCTTATGAACAGAAGAAACTACTGAGCTTCACAAAGTCCTACATATCAATTTAACTCAACACTTCTTAAATGAGATGTAAAGTCAAAAATGTTTAAAGTAAATGATTTATCATGAATCATTTGTATGGCTGTGCTTAACTGAACACAAAATGGAAGACACAGACATACCCAGGGGCAGATGAGAGTTTTGCGAGGCCCAAGGCGCTGAGCCTATTGAAGCGCGGGGCCCAAGGCAGCACAATTTCGCACGTGCGCCACGGCCACAGCCGACAGGAAGTAGCGCATGAACGGGGCCTACTGAAGCACGGGGCCCAGGGCAACCGCCCAGCTCATCCTACCCTATATCCACTGCTGGACATACCAAATGCAAGAAAGAAGGTATAGATAATGCAAGTGGATAAAGTCTTCTATAATTTTGGCTTGAGAGAGATATTTGAGTACAATAACACCCAGAACAAAAATTAACTGCACCACAATTGAAGTGAGGACAGGAGTTGTCTGGGCTAGACAAAGGAGGATAGCTCTGCTTTATGAAGTCAGAGACCTCCTTATGATTTATGCACAGAGGTGGGAAATAGATAGCTTTGCCCTCCTGGAATGTGAGGTTCAAAAGTCAAAAAGGTGGAAGCCTTGGGCAAGGAAAGCCTATTTGTTTCATACAGCAAGCAAAGCCAAATAGAATGGGGGAGGGAGGGTTAGAGACTTCTGTGATTGGTACAACAGGGAACCAACCCCAACCCCCCCAGCACCATTCTCATTGCCCATCTTAACCCTCCTATAGGAGGGTGGATGGTAAGGTCTAACACATGGATTAGCTGGAGGATGTGGATGGAAACGAAGTGGGGAAGTGCTGGTGGAAGCCCAGAGTAATGATTGGAATAAACATGTATTTGCCTGCACTGTACATTTTATCTGATGGGTAGTCACTGACATCTATACAATAAAATTGTGGCCTGATTAAAATCCATATCAAGTGTCGCCTGTCCTCCTTTTGGTATATCCAGAAAATGTTCTATTTAACACGGTAATGCCATTAGTACCAAAAGGTGGCCTCCAATAATTTTGTCTCTACATTTGTGTTTTAAACCACTGAGATTATATTATCCTGTATCTGTGACAGAGTGATCAATATTTAAGATAATTGTCTTTATTCTTGATTAAACAAGAAAAATGTGTGAATTAACTAAAATAATTCTTTTTTAGCCAGTAATATTACTTTTATAAAGTATGTTCCTAAAGTGGGTACTGGCTTCCATTCTCACATATAATATATGCTGGAGCTTTTCCTACTAAAATACATGTGTGTATCCAAAATCTATAATAAAATTGTTGCCTCTAGATTTAAAGTGTCTCCATTGGTTAAAACTAATCCTTGTAGAAAAACAGCGGCTGATAGGTGTGAAAATATACAATGAGCCATTTATATTTTTCAGCGATTGCAAACTGTTCTTTTCAGACTTCTTTCAGTGCATTTTTCTTTCTTACACAGTTCTATTTTACCTTAGTTATTCTTTTAGCTTCACAATTGTTTTCTATGTGAATCAAAGACAAAATATCCTGAAATGACATAGTAAGAGAGATGTAGCCATGTTAGTCTGGTCTTGCTGAAACAAAAGACAGGACTATGCAGCACTTTAAAGACTAACAAGATATATACCAGAGCCTCTCGGCGTGTAGTATCCTGTTCCAGTATAGGTTGTAGTTTATTGATAATGTGTTGGACGGGTTTAAGCTGGGGGCTAGTGGTGTTCTATTGTTGGTTTTCTTGGGTCTGTCTTGAAGTAGAACATTTCCTCAGATTCCATCCCCTTTTATCCCTTTTCTACTTACTCTACATCGATGACATCTTTATGATCTGGACCCATGGCCAAGAAACATTGGATGCATTCCACAGAGACTTTAACAACCTACATCCCACTATCAATCTCAGCCTGGACCATTCTACACAAGGGATCCATTTCCTGGACACCACAGTACAACTCACCAATGGTAAATTAGATACCACTCTCTACAGAAAACCCACTGACTCATACAGTTACCTACATGCCTCCAGCTCCCATCCAGAACACACCATACGATCCATCATCTATAGCCAAGCCCTTCGATACAACCGCATCTGCTCTAATCCCACTGACAGAGACCAGAAACTTCAGGATCTCTACCAAGCATTTATAAACCTCTGTTACCCACCCAGAGAAATAAAAAAGCAAATTGAAAGAGCCAAACGAATACCTAGAAACCATCTACTACAAGACAGACCCAAGAAAACCAACAATAGAACACCACTTGTCATCACCTACAACCCCCAACTTAAACCTGTCCAACACATGATCAATAAATTACAGCCTATACTGGAACAGGACACTAAACTCCAAGAAGCTCTGGGAGACAGACCCATAGTCTCCTATAGACAACCACCTAACCTCAAGATCATTCTTACCAACCACCACAGGACATACCACACTAATACCAACCCTGGAACTTTCCCTTGCAACAAATCCCGTTGCCAGCTTTGTCCACATATTTACTCTGCTGACACCATCATTGGACCTAACCATTTCAGTTATAAGATCACATATTCCTGCTCATCCAGAAATATAATTTATGCCATCATGTGCCAACAGTGTCCGTCTGCTATGTATATTGGACAAACTTATTAGGCACTTAGAATCAATGCACACAAAACAGACATCAGACAGTTTCACAAAGAAAAAACAGTTTCTTGCCATTTCAACCAGAATGGGCATTGTCTCAATGATCTGACTACATGCATCCTGCTTCAAAGAGATTTTAACACAAGACTTCAGAGAGAAGACTCTGAACTGTCATTCATGCTTAAATTTGACACTTTACAAATGGGTCTTAACAAAGATGCTAATTATCTTACACATTACAAAGATAGCTTCCCCAATTATCACCTCCAATGTCATTATCTCATAGACACTTACCTCCCCTCCTCATCACCCCTCTGTTCTAAAATCTGATTTGTCTATATTATATGTGTTCACTTTTTTTTATTGTATCCCTTTGGTCATGCCAATTTTCTTCCACAATTTGATCTGAAGAAGTGGGTCTGGCCTACAAAAGCTCATCACCTAATAAACTATCTTGTTAGTCTTTAAAGTGCTGCATAGCCCTGTCTTCTGAAATGACATAGTTATTGACAAATGTTGCACGGAATGAGAACTAAGATGAACAGAGCAATTAGTAATAAATGTTTTAGTAACAAATGCTTATTGAGCCAAAAGAGAACTGACTATTATAAATACCAACAAAGATGTCAATTTGGAAAATGACTTTTTATTGTAAATGAGTATGTTCAACAAAGGTACAAAGCTGGAATAAACTCTAACTAGTCCTATCACCAAAATGAATGAGAATTAAGAAGGTAAATTAATTCCTAAGGGAAATCAATGTAGTTCTCATTAGTTTGGGGAACAAGATACCTTAAATCTTTTAATTAAAGATAATATTTACTCCAAATGAGTAAAAGTTGGCAGGTTTTGCCGAATCTATTATCTCATTTATGCAAAGATTCCTTATATTGGTAGACATCATTAATCTCATTGGAGATGCCCTCCAGACTGACAGTCCTATAGCACTGAGGTTTATTTCCTATAGAAGCCTTTTTATCTGCACAAAAGAACTCAAGCAGACACAAACCATAAAAAGGTCTGAGCAATTAGAGACATCATTTTGTGCAAATGTGATACCAATTTTATCATTTGAGTGATCCTCTCCTAATGAGCTTATTTATAATACAGCCCCTCTTCCCATTAACAACCAAATTAACAGTAGCTAGAACTCTTCTTCCTTATTTGTCTGTGCAGAGAACTATGTCTAGGTCTTCTGTGACTTGGGAAGAATTTCTATCTTTAGAGCCTGAGTTAGAGTCTTCATGAAATTAGATAGGCAACCCTGAGACTAAGCAGTGAAGAGCAGATAAAAGTCACCCAATTCCATTTCATAACCGTATGGAAGAGAATAACTGGTTTGTTTTTGCATAATTAATTTCATAGAAAGTTAAACTGTATTTTAGCCTGGTGTCTTTAGTCATAATCTATTAATGACTTTTGTATGGATTACTTATTTAGGGGAGGAGAGCGCAAAATAGTGTAATTAAGCTGAAACACAAATGTCTACAGATATCTAAGAGGAAGAGAATCTGCAGACATGTTGAACTGCTGCTGAACATGCCTGGTATGCCAAGTAAAACCCACTGGCTGTGCTGCAGAAAATACAGACGTGTTAACACACTGATACAATGGGTGTAGTGTAGACATACTCTAAGAATAATGACATACTCATCTGATGAAGTGGGTTTTACCCATGAAAGCTCACAATCTATTTGTTAGTCTCCAAGTCTATGTCTACGCTACAGACAAGATCGAAGCAGTCATAGTCTATCATCTGGGGTTTGAATTAATGGATCTAGTTAAGACACGCTAATTCAAACTGAGAGGGGCGTACCCGTAGATGTCGGTAGTCCTGCTTCTATGAAGAGTAAAGAATGTCGAAGAGACAGTGTGCTCCCTTTGACTTCCCACAGTGTGGACGGCACCAAAATTCGATTTAAGATACTTCAACTTAAGCTATGCAATTAACGTAGCTGAAGTTGTGTATCTTAATTCAAACTCTTCCCCAGTGTAGGCCAGGGTAAGGTAGTGTTTCTTAAAGTGGTCCAGGGTCCCACTTTGAGAAAGCTGCTAACAAGTCTCTCTCACAGCTCCCTTTGACTGCAAATGGCAAACTGGAGCCAATGGGAGCTGTGAGGTTTCATGGCTACAGAACCATTAAGTAAACAAACAGGTATGGCCCATTAGCAGCTTTCTCAAAGTGGGCCTCAGGGTGCCCCAGGATTGCTTGTTGTTTTTAAATTTACAGACTATCAAAGCTATCCTTCTGACACTTTCTAAGAATAATGATATGGAATCATTTTCTGAACACTAAGTGTTGCCTGGTCAGTGAGGTGAAGTTATAGCATAGTGAGTTATAAATCTTTCCTCTAGGCATGTATGGATTACACTTGAAAAGGCTGTTGGAAAAGCAATCAAGAAAGTGATGCAGTCATCCCCAGCACACTGGTGAAATACAATGGGGAAAGTATTACCTTTGAGGACCTTATAGTCTGTCTCCAACAGAGTGACAAGCCCTTTTTTGGCAGTGCTGGGACCCAGCAGATCAAAGGACTAAAAGAGTTAAAAAGTGACTTGTTCTTTAAAAAGGAGAGTGATCAAAAGGACTAAGCACCTTTTAAAGAAAATTGTCCAAGAAGCACAGAGTGAACTGGTCTGTGAGTTGAGGAAAGAAAATGTACTTTAGACTCCAGCTGTCTTAAGGGAGGAGGGAAAAGTCTGTAGGAAGCTCAAATCTACCAAAATCCCCATGAGGACCCCTGGTAAAACAACCTGTTTTATTGTTTTAAAAACCAATGTCTTTGAAGTTTCCAACTCTGATAAATAATATTTTGCTTTAAGAAAGCTATCTAGTCACTGGTTACCACTATCATTGCTCCTGGAAGGAATAGAATTGCAGTGTGTGGACATAAATTAGACATATGAGGTAATCATACTAACCTATCAGGATGCATGCTTCAATCCTGATTAAAGGTGATGGCTCTGAGCTTGAGACCAGAAAGGATGTGCACTTGAAGAGACCAGAAAGAGTCAGAGATGAGCAATGTCAGAGATGAGCAACAGCAATGGAGGACCAACAGGAAGCAGAATTTTTCAAATTGGGATCCAGAGATCTTCCAGAGTGCCTGCTGGACCCACTGATCAACTTCTTTTCCTCCCTCTCTCAACAGCTGTCAGGCGGCATGCAGGAGGCATCCCAAGGGAGGAGGAGAAGAGGAGATGGGGCACATTTAGGAGAAGGGGTGGAATTATGTCTGGGGCTGCCAGCCCCACAGATTAAATCCTCCATCCCCATTGCCTTCTGCACACTGGGAAACAGCTGTTCAGTGGTGTGCAGTAGGTACTGGGAGGGAAGGAAAGGAATGAGGATAGGGTATGCAGTTAGAGGAGGGAGGGAAGAGGAAGGGCAGAGGTGGAATGGGGACGGGAAGAGGCAGAGGAGAGATGGTATCTTTGGGGGAGAGGGATGGAGTGGAGGCAGGGCCTGGGAAGGATGGAGTGGGGACAGGGTAGGAGTTTGGGGATCCATGAAAATACTCAAATCAAAATGGGGGTCTTGGAGTGGGGACAGGGTAGGAGTTTGGGGGTCCATGAAAATATTCAAATCAAAATGGGGGTCCTCGGGTTGCTAAAGTTTGAGAACTACTGAGATTAGCCAACTTCTAATTCTAATTTCTCTGCCATGTGAGAACCATTGTTGCCACTTTTTCCTTCTTTAACTTTTACATTGTAATGCGCATAGGACTTATCTGTGTCACAAAGCTCATTTCTCAGGAAACTTCCTTCCCTCCTTCCCACAAGAAGGATAATCTTGTGGCTAACTCAGAAGAATGGCAGTTATCACACTATAGACCTTTCCCTGGCTCTGCTATAGGCTTCCTGTGTGGATAACTACTGTAATCTGTGTCTCGATGGTAAAATGGGGACAACCATAATTCTTTATTTCACAGGAAGACGGTGGGATATAATTTGTGGAAAGACTTTGAGATCCACATATTGACGTGCAAAGCATGATATTATTACTACAATAACTAATCACTTTTTTTCTATTTCAGAATCCAAGATGGATTTTGTTTCTGAGCAAAGCAACTTAGTATACCACAATTAGCCCAAGTTTCTATATAAAAGAGCCTCATAGCATCATAGTTACAGTTCTCTGACTGTAGAATCACAGCCCTATTTTGTTTTTATTTGACAGTCTTTCACTGGAAATGTGTAAATGATTCACAGACTTCACTTAAATAATCAGTGGGTCAACCCTTCTCTGTCAGGTCTCCATGCCCACCAGTCAGTCAGTATACGCCTTTTTCCCATAGCAACTGTTTCAACTCAGAGTCTGTCCTAAGGCTGCAATATCACCACCTGCTTGATTTACAGAAAACTGCACATCAGTGGACAGCTAAATCAATGCTCATCTGATTACAGATATTTTTCAAAAATATTGCAAGCTCAGTTCATTCATCTTCTATGTCGGTTTTCCACCTAAGGCCAAATGCTAGCATGGTAGCTTCTGCAGTGTTGCTCTTAGCTAGAGCTGCATTACCCCGCCATCATCTTCGCTGCAGATGAGTTGAGCCGATTCTGAAAGTTGATAGACCTTTGGGGATGCCATGTAATTTCTGGGCTGCTGCCCAATTCTACATATTCTTGTGACTCTGCCCCCTCTCAAGCAATTGCAGCACTGAGGGAAGACTTGGGCAAAAAATGTTTTCTCCATGCCACACTAAGAAGTGCATGATTTTCTCACCTGACTGACCACCAGGGAAACTCAGTGGGCTAGCACAATCCAGAGGCAGCTGCACTGAAACAAAATTGCCAGCAGGACAGGATGGGTTTTGCAGCCAAAGGACATATTTTCCCCCATTGGAACACACCTCCTCCTTCCTCCCATAGTGAATAAAGAGAAAGAGGAGATTTCCACACCACTTCTGATACTATCTCCTCCTCACACATAGAACTGTGACAGTCTGTTTTGGCTTGCATTGTATTTATAACAATCCTTTCACCTGTGGCCAGTTTTGTCACATTTCTAGCATTTATCTTAACTGTTTTCTTTAATCTTTTTCAATATTGCAGCTCTCCCTTCTTTTGCAAACAATGTATCTCTTTTTAAAATCATTTCATAATATCTTGGACCAAAATAGAATCCCCTTTTTCATCAGGCATAGAGCTTTACTTACAGGGCTCTTGGATATCGGCTGCCTTCCTCCACACTAGTTGCTGCTTCCTCTTCTGCTGACTGCTGCAAGGAAAGATTCAAGTTCAGTGACAAATCCCACAGTCTCTTAGAGTGGCTTTGCTTTGGCTTCCTTTTACCGATCTTGGTCTGCAAGTTCAAGCCCAGCTAAACATCTATAAACTGATCAATCACCCATTTATCTTGGACAGCCTTGTTGGCCTCGTTGGCTATGACAGGAACACAAGCCTCCATGGGTCTTCTGCCAATTGAGGTGGGATTTCATACTTTCCTCTTCTTCTATTTTTTAGCTTGCCCAGGCAAGTTCAGATAGCTATCTAGGTCCACACTTGTACCAAGGTTTGTACCAGGTCTGAATAACTGTTATCTTTCGGGGGTGAGGGGGTGAGTTCTGCAGCACCTTAAGAGCTGGGTCACTTACATTAACTGTCCCTTTCTGTCTTCCTTCCAAACCATTTGAGTTACAATGCTGAATTGAGCCAAATAACCCTCACCGGGGGTTTTCCCCTCAAAGGTAACAGGGCTTTGCATCATATGAGCTGGGACAGCCTGATCTCTTCCCCTGGGGCTATATGGATTACAAATAGGATAAAAAACTGTTGTAAATGTTTCATCTTACCCAACTCGTCTAATTGGCCATTTCCACATCCAGGTGGTTGCCTTCTAGTCTGTGACCCTTTAATTTTTTTATGCCAGGGGTGAGGAATCTTTTTGGGGTTGGTGGTCACTAACACAGAGAAAAATCAGTTAGGGGCCATATACAAGTAAGAAGCAAAAAAAAAAAACAACCCTCACTGAAGTGGCTCCTGACTGAGAGGGAGAGACACATTCTCCACATTCCCCTTGAACACCAGAGAGTTAGAGAGCCCAGGTTAGTAGATTTTGTGTGCTCAAGTACTGCAAGGGATGGCAGTGGGTGGGGGGGTTTCTGGAACACAAACAGGGGCTCCCCAATGCTGGAAGGAGCCCTGAGCTTTGGGGGCTGGATCCTGATCCTCAGGTTCCCCTCCCCTGCTCTACGGAATTGAATTTTCAGATCCTGAAGTCATTACAGTTCATCCTGGCTAACAGGTTCCAAACTGGTCAGACTATTTTAACATTCCAGCCTAGCTGTAAGGCAAACTGTAAGGTTTCCAGTTTGTCCAGGCATTTTGTAGTTTCTGTTCCAAAAGGGATCTTATCTCAAACTACAAATAATCTCTCCGCTCTTTCTGGGAATCCTCCAGTACTTGTTTTAGGTCTTGTGTTAATTCCTTCTGCAAAATCTCCAGCTTCAGTTTTAAGTCTTGTTTTAATTCCAGCTGGCCATTTGATTTCTGCAAGTACTTCCCTTATATGTTCCTGTGACCCAGTGAATCCCTCAGGGTATGTCTACACCGCACAGTTTTTCGGAAAAACTACACTTACGTCCACACTGCAATTGCGTTCAACAGAAAGTCGAAAGAACGCAGGGGTTTTCCCAACAGTGGTAAACCTCTTTCTACGAGGAGGAAGCCTTTTTCCGAAAGAGCTCGTTCAGAAAAAAGCATGTGTGGACGGGGAAGAGGGGTTTTTTCAAAAGAAGAAGCCTCCAGGAAAAAGCACAGGCCCTCTGGTGGCCACTCCATCCATAGTAATCACAACTTAAATGTGTGATAGCGTCCAATCAATGTGGATGCTATCTTTCGAAAAAGGAAATGGCTTTTTTGATGCGCTTTTGCTGTCTTGATGCTCTTTTTCGAAAGAAAAGTTTTCCATTACAAGCATTTTCCGAACAGAGCGTCTACATTGGCACGGATGCTTTTCCGCAAAAGCACTTTTTGCGGAAAAGCGTCCGTGCCAATCTAGACACGCTTTTCCGCAAAAAAGCCCCGATCGCCATTTTCACGATCAGGACTTTTTTGCGGAAAACAAATCTGAGCTGTCTACACTGGCCCCTTTGCTCAAAAGGGACTTTTGCCTGAATGGGAGCAGAATAGTATTTCCGCAAGAAGCACTGATTTCTTACAGTAGGAAGTCAGTGCTTTTGTAGAAATTAAAGCGGCCATTGTAGACAGCTGGCAAGTTTTTCTGGAAAAGCGGCTGATTTTCTGGAAAAACTGGCCAGTCTAGACACAGCCAGTGTGTATTTAAAAAGTGTCATGACCGTTTTGGAGAGACTTGGGAATAGAAGGACTGTGTTGGTGTTACTTTGCAAAGAATAACTAGCTTGGTAGAAGCCAGGGTAATGCTCTGCTACTGTGTGCTGCTGGGGTCAGGACTCTGAGTCAAACCTGCACAGCATAGAAGCACCCAGAGTTGCTAGACAGGTGGTGACAGAATCTCTTAAAGGTCTGGGTGGACTCTCAAAGCATCACAGATCCATCTTGGTTCAATAGGAATGCCAGATCACACTCATATGCCCTGAAAACTGGCTTCTGCTTCTGTCACCAATGTTGCCCCCTTTTGCTTTGCGTAGCTAGTCCAAGTTCAGTGGTCTGGGGATGTTCCTGCTTGAAATATAAATTGACTGGATCTGGTATTTTCTTCAATGAAATCTTATTTAAAATTATGTACAAATCCATGCTTCTCTGAATTATAAGAAGAACTAAGAACAAAAGAAGCAGTTTCTTAATTTACAGACTGAAGCCTCTTAACTGATCACCAAACCCAAACATGCTGTCTTTAGTGTTTCCAGGGTCACTGTGTTCAATGGCTACTGCTTGGCATTCTCTGTTCTGTGTATGCTTTCAGCTTCTGTGTGTTCTGGTTTCTCTCACACACATATACACCATTGGTATCAATACACAGAGTACTGATAGCTTTGGGGCAAATTCTATTAGGCTTTGTAGCCCCCTCAGTATCTCTTACAAATATTTTGCATTAAGAATGTGTTCACAGATCAGTTTGAATGACTTTTTAACTTAACTCATAGGAGGGTTTCATCCAGATTGTAACAAAGCACTTCCTTAGTCTGCTGTAGACCCATCTCCTAAATACTCAAGCATGCGAAAATGCAGGGAGCACTTGCAAAGTTGTGTTCCATAACATACATTGGAGTGGACTGTGGGCCCTATCTTTGAGACTGGATGTTTGGTGTTCAGAGAAGTTAAGATAGAAAGACCGTAAAGATGGCTGTAAGTCTGATCCTCAGGTTACCAGTCAGGTCCCAAGAAATATATTGAATTGTAGGAACTGAAATTATCCAACAGGGACCATTCCAGCAGTTGGGGATTATTAGTGTGTAGAAGTACTGCAGTCATGCTACTTTCCCTAAGCAATAGCTCCTACACTGGAACTAACTGTGCAGCCTAATTCCCAAATACCAGTTAAGCTGGATCAAAGTTTGCTTCATGCCACAAAAGTTAATATCACAATAACTAACATTTTTAACAGTAGTTTCAATTCATCACATTCAAAAAGCTCCATGACATTTTCCCTTTCAACCCCAGAGCAGTGAGGCTGGAGTTGATAGCCAACAAGGCTCCCATAGCTCTTAGCCAGTGCAGGTGGCGAGATCCCCTCAGAGCTCCCACCCGCCAACCCTGGAGTTCCCAGCTGCTGTGGCGAGGGAAGTTCAATGCACTCAACCCCCAGAGGTATCAGAGGCATACCAGAGACACAGCAGCAGTGGGTGCTGGACCCCTCCTCCCCATTTTGTTAGTTACTTTTAATAAAAGTTAGAGACTGATCACAAGCTTCTGTGAATTTTTGCTTATTGTCTGTAGCCTGTCCATGAATTTTACTAAAAATTACTGTGACACAACTTCAGCTTTACTGTTTAGAAGTAGCTTCAGAGTGGTAGCAGAGTTAGTCTGTAACTAGAAAAACTTAAAAACAATTAATAGTCTTGTAACAACTTAAAGACTAACAAAACATGTAGATGGTTTCATAAGCTTTCGTGGGAACAACCCTCTTCAGATGACTGGAGTATTAAAAGTCCAGATCCAAGAATAAATAAGGGAAAG